CCCTGGTGTAATTGTTAACACTGTCGTGGTTTGGCTGGTGACACCGATGGTCATGCTAACTCTAGCATTCCTAAATGCTACTTTTGTTCCTCAGCCATATCTAAGCCATTTCTGAGACCCCACTCACAGCCCAGAATATTCCTTTTTTCATAAGTCAGTTTAAGATGGGTTTCTGTTCAATAGAACCCTAGTGGATAGAAGTGCCCAGTAAATACAAGCCTATTCTTTTGCAGAATACTTTCACAACATTTTCAACTCACTGAAAGTGGCCCAAATCTCATTTCAGAGAGAAGAAAACAGGTTGCAAGAGTCTCACAAACCTACTTAGTGACAGAGGTGAGACGGAGATACCTCCCTAGGCTTTGTGCCTTCTCTTCCTTCACCCCCACATTTATTTGAGAAGGTGGCTAGGTTTGCTCAGCCTCTTGAAATACTTGGGAGAAACATTTTCCCCCCAGGCCTCACATCTGACAGAGTTCAAAGCCTTAGAGAGGAGCCTGGGCCACTTTATATGGAGCCCCCAGGGAGTGGGGAGGAATCCCCCCCTTTCCCTACCTAGAGGCTGCATCTCAGCAGCCCCACCTCACCTTGCCAGGACCTGCTGAGCCGAGAGCTGGGGCCCAGTGGTCCATGGGGAGACAGAAAACATGGAGAACTGTACACACAGAGGTCCCGGCTCACTGCCCCACAGCCTCCCTGGTGCCCAGCTGGCCAGGGTACATGGAGGATGGGGTGCTGCCGGCCTCAGGGGCATTCTCCTTTAATAGCGTATGTGACACGAAGCAGCCACCTTCTGTGCTCTGCCTCCTGCCCAGGCCGAACCCCTTTCTCTCTCCCCCCTCACCTGGGCAGCTGTGGGATTCATGCAAAATTAACCAGAGGTTCCGTTTCGCAACACACGGCAGTATCCAGTTCCCACCCACCCCTCACTGCCCCGTCTTCTTTGACCCTTTGATCGTCCCCAGCAGGAAACAGAGTGGTGGACACCTGACAGGGCCCTGTCTGAGCCATCCCTTCTGACAGCCCAAGGTGCAAGTTTAGGAAGTGAAGGCTGAGGGCCACCCAGCTGTGTGGCTCAGGGCCGCACCACACGGGGCCCTGGGGAACTGAAGCCAACTGTCCCGTGGGTGACACTGGGTGTCCTGTGTCCTGTCTCTGGCCTGCAGCTTCCGTCCTGGGCAGCAAGACATGCCAGGACACCCCGTCTTCTTCTTTTTTTTTTTTTTCTCTTTTCCTTCCTTCCTTCTTTCTATGAATCTTTCTTATGCCCCTGGGCACTGAACTAGGTTCTGGGGACTGGCCCCCAAACCAGCCACCCATGTTTGTGCCACCGAGAGCACGGTGACCCTGCACTGGACACTGTCATATCTGATGGCCTCTTTCATGGGGGTGGGGCCCAGGCATTTTGTTTTTCAAAGAAATGTTTGGGTGTAATAGGAACAAGCTTCATAAACCCGCCTTGTTGGTCGCCTGGGCGGGGACTGTTATCATCCCCATTTCACAGAGACGTCACCTGGGGCCCAGAGAGCTTGGATTTAACTCTCTCAGTGCCCCTCAGAGAGAAGCCCCTCAAGACTGCAACTTTACTGCCCCAGGCTGGAAGAGTGTGGAAGGGAAGGGAACAGAAGGTGAAAAGGGAAGGACGTCAATTAGAACCATAGTGGATGAGGAAGGAAAGGTGCTCAGGTAGGACAGAGCGGGCCAGGGTTACCCAACAGGCATCACCCAAGTCAGGCCCCCAGGTGGAAAATCCAACACCAGTTTCTTTGGTGCAACAGGCCGTGCCGTGGGTGGGATGTGGCTTCAGGCTCCATCCATCACTTATAGAGTTCTTTCTGCCTAAATTTAGCTGGATGTGAAGGGGACGGCTGATTTATGCAGGGCCTGAGCAGTTTCCTGCAGCATGAGTGACTTGGAGGCCAATTCTGGACTCACATCAGCAGAGAAGTGACGGGGTGTGTTGGGAGTGGCCAGAGCCAGCACAGCCCAGACTACCTGGCTTTTAAGTCAGAGTTGAGACTGGAGGCTAAGCATTTCTTTAAATGGTGGGAGGCTCAAACAGGGCGATATAAGAGTCAAGGTAAGGAAAAATGTCCCTGGTGACCCCCTTCTACTCAGGGCTGCCTCAACAGTGGACACCAGAGAGGATTGTTCCCAGGTGGACCTGCTCAGCTTGAGTTGTATGGAGCCGGGTTCAAAGCCTGCTGGGCCCTCATGATCCTCATTTGTAAAACAGGAAAACACCTGCTTTCAGGAGCATGCGTCATGAGGGAAGCAGAGCAGTCTAGTCTAATTCAAAGTGTTGCTCCACATGAAGACCAGGGATCCAAAAGAGGCACACTGCACCCTTTCTGGGGACTATGACTGCTTCTTCCAGAATAATGACTCCCAGGATGATAACAAGAAGGGCTGACATAGCGGGCACACAGACCCTGGGCACTCGGCTTAGTCTCATTCAACGTGTACAGCGCATCTTATTGACAGGGAGGTGGAGGTGCCTATTCTCTGAGGCTGAATCCTGGCACAGAACCACCGACATGTGTGCACGACTCCCAGCCACCTCAATTTGTCCTCACCACGACCCCGGGAGGTCATCACTATTGTTATCCCCATTTCACAGATGAAAAGCGGAGGCACAGAGAGTTTGGTGAACATGCCCAGAGACCCACAGTGGACAAGTGGCAGAACTGGGATTTGAACCCAGTCCATCCATGTCTGGGACCTAGAGCCTTCTGCTCTTCTGCTGCTCCCCAGATCTCTCCCACTCCTACCCCTGCCATATCCCAGAGATCCTTCTAGAACAAGAGATCCTTCTAGAGACCAAGACAGCAGGAATTTGAGCTAATCCTACAGTGGACTTTCCTCCTCAAAGATCTTCCTCTCAACTGTCCTCATGAGAAATCAGGAAACCAAGGTCCAGAGAGGTCAGACCAAAGGCCCAGAGGTACATGGCTGGCAGGCGGCACAGCGAGTCAGAGATGTCGTTCTTTCAGTTTTACAGATGGCAAAACTGACTCCATCAGCTTTTACATAATGAGGAATTTCTTGAGCATGCCAGAAGGCTGCAGAATTCTAAGACAGGCTGCTCTAGCTCACACTATAGTCTTTATTTCTATTTCTTCCACAGCCAAACATGAACAGCTCTTCCTCCAGGAAGCCTTCTCGACCATTGCTGCCCACCTGCCTCACCTCCCTGTGAGCCCTGGAGTCCTTGCTGCTCTTGGTCCCCTGATGTTTGGCCAATCAGCTGCCTGAGCTGCTTCCCAGGGGCTGGGGACTCTGTGGCCACATCTTAGGTTTTCCCCGGGTGCTTCCCGAGCCTTCCTACATCAGGCTTAGGCCAGTGCTGGGTGAACAGAGAGCACAGAGAGCAGACAGGGCCCACCCCTCAGGTTTGTGGGTGCTTCTTCTCCCCAGTAGGGGAGTGGGGATGGTGTCAAAGAAGGCACCTGGCACTGGCTCTGCACAGGGCTGGACCTTGACCATGTACTGCCCAATTCCCTGGGGCCTAAGAGCTTTTCTTGTGGGAGGGGATGGTGGATCTCTTAACTTGGAGTCCATGGCCCAGTTTCAAGGGGGTGTGGAACCCCATCTGTGGCAGGCAGTGGCTGTTCCTGGGGACAGTGATCCCAGCTTCCTTCAGCTTTTCCCAAGAGCTGGGACCCTGAGATATTCAAGAATTTCTGACTCAAGGGAATATCCTGGTTCCCAGTCAAGAGGCAAAGGCTGCTCAGGCAGCTCTGCCTCCTTGCAGGCCAGGGTGCCGCCCTGATGGTGGGATGAGCATGGTCCATTCTGCCAGGGATTTGTGGTCACACAAGACTGGGACCCAGGAGCCTCCAGCAGAGCCTGTGCCCATCTTAGGGCCACAATCGGCCATCTTCAGGCCTTGAGTTAGAATTGATGCTTCCCTCTTCCCTCCCCTCCCACTGAATTGTGACCAAACAGCACCACGAGAGGAGATTCACTTTTAAACTTCTGCCTGGGCTCATCCTACAGGCACAGTGTCACTGAGAGCAGTCAATATGAGAATAGGTCTTAGTTTTGCCTCCTGACCACAGACATCCAGGAGTTGCAGGGTGTGGCAGGGGGTAGGCATGTGTGGCCACTGCACTGTCTGGCTGGCCCTGGTGGGTCCCAGCTGAGCAGCAGGGCCCATGACGCAGCCTCTATAGAAATGAGTTCAGGATTAGTGACCAGCAGTACCCAGGCATGGGGACTGGGGGACAGATTTCTCCAATCTAGTTGCTGTCTGCCTCCAATCCAGGTGTGATCTACATTTGGGGGACAGACTGTTATCCACTTCTAGAATAATCATACTTACTGAACACCTACTGTATACCTAGCGCTGCACTAAGCACTGTGTAGGAGGCATTGACGGCATGTTACAGAGAACAGACCAAAGCTCAGGGCAGTTTTTGTGCAAAGTCACAGGACTGGAAGAGTCAGGCAGGGCCTTGGACCCATGCCTTTGGGACCTTTGGTCCCCTCCTGTGAAGCCCTAGGAGCTAAAAGCCTCTCTCTGGAAATCCCAAGCCTGATTATTTTGACAATTGCAAGAAAACCCCACTTTCACCCTCAGGGAAAGACAAACAAGGGTATCTGTCACCCTGCCTATCATGGCCCATCTTCTTGCTGCCCTGTCTGCCCAGCAGTTCCACAGTCCACAGGTGCCCCAAGATCTCCAGCCATCCTCTACTGGAATCTGGATTTGCAAGAGAAGGACGTGACTTCAGCCTGGCCACAGGGTTCCCTTGGGTAGCTGGAACCAGATGCACCTGCAATGCTGTGGTTCCTGCCCAAGCCCAGATGATGATGCTCTTTCCCCTGGCCTCTCCAAAGTTGCTGACGCCCAGCTAGAACACACTAGCATGGCAATTCTGGCAATTTTCAGCCCACTTCTGACACATCTCTGCTACTAAATATTATGAATAGAGTCCCTGGTGCCAACCCAGTGGCCACCAGGCCTGCAGCCCTGGGTTCAAGTCTCCCACACTTACCTTCCACAGGTGAGGTCTTGAGGCGCCGGCAGATGGCTTCAGTGTCCCCGTAGGTCTCCTTGATCTTGACCACAGCCTCTGTGCCCCGCAGCTCCATGAGGGAGCGGAGCTCCTCCAACGTGCACCCAAACTCACCCCCATGGCTCGACTCATTTCTTTGGTTTTTGGAGTAAAAGTCGCTGTTGGTCATATCACCCATGTTTGCTGAAGTCCCTGCTCAGGGTGGGCCCAAAGGTCAGCACTGGACAAGAGGCTTCTGGGTGATGGCTGCGTGTGGCTGTTCTCAGCACACCCTCACTGGACAGCTGCAGCTCCAGGTGGCCGACTCCGGGTCCCAGGGGGAGGGGGTGGCTGAGGTGGGTTGGCAACAGCAGTGGTGAGCTCCAAGGTGTGTCCCCAGGTGGGGGGCAAGGTCCAGGGGCCAGAGGGGCTCAGGGCTGTAGACCCAGGAGTCTCCATTCAGTGGGGTCCATGTTGCTACCTGGAGCTGGCATCTACATGGTCAGGGGTGGTGGCTCCTGTGGGGATAAGCAGAGAGTAGGTCAGGCACTGGAGTCCTCCTGAGACAGGTGCTCAATAAAATCCAGGCTGTAGGTGTGCATACATGGCCCCAAGTAACACACACACACTGAGCACACACACATACACTCTCACTCAGGCATTAGTTCAACAACTCCCAACCACCTAGCAACGCTGTACACCCGAATGGTTAGCAGCTCCCGCCGAATGCCCTTCAACAGGGCAGCCCAAGACACAGCCTGGTAGAGCCTCATAACACACCCTGATCCCCAATTTTCCATGCTGTGTAACATGCTGAGTTCCGACCAGCCCTGTGCCCACACCGTCTGCCATGCAATACCCAAAATGCATATTCCTAGCCCCCCCACCCACTGCCAGACACACGCACCAACACTCAGGCCCCCCACTCACACCACTCTGAGGAACAGCCCCACCCTGTCACACACTGTCACACTTCTAGGCATACAACTTCATATCCCCACCCCTGCCCCACCAAACGCTGTGTGCACACCAGACCCCGTTTCCTTTTTTCTCTGACTACGCTTGTTTACCCACATCCCAGCCCCACAAAATCTGAGACATGCCCTCCCTCTCCCTAGGAACACAGGCCTCTGGACACACACAGATGACCACTCCCATCCACGCCACCTCTGCCCGTAGTACATTCTCTTCTCCCCACATTCCTTCCCCACTTGGGTTTCATAGACACAGGGAAGGAGAAAAGACCCCCATCTCCACCCACAGCCCCCAACCATGTTAATCAGGGCCCTTGGCCTGGCTAGAGAAGCCTGTCATCTATATATTCATGAGGCACAGAATTGAGCCTCGAGCTTGGTCCCTCGTATGAGCTCTGGTCACGGAGCCCTCACCTGGAACCTCCTCACATCAGAACCATGGACAGTGGCCGATTGATTGTCCCTCTCAGGAGCACAGGAAGAGGGAGCCCCGCTGGCTTCTCCCTGCCCGCCAGGCCACCCTTGAGGGAGTGCAGCATCTGTGGGGCTGCCAGGAGAGAATCCAATCTGCCCAGACACCCAACACCAGCGACCGAGGCCCCGGCAAGCGTTGGGTGACAAAGGGCCCCTGCTGAGCTCGGCTGAGCCTGGCACAGGGACCTGCCCCGCCCAGCCACAGACAGCTGGCCATCTTGGGCTCGGGACAAAGAGGGGGAAGGGGCCCAGGACAAGAAGAGAGGACTGAGTCCCCTGACCCAGCTCCAGACCCCAGCGCTCCTCACAATCCTTCCCTCTTGCACACATTTTAGAGCTGAGCATTTGGGTCATTTAACTTTCCCAGAGGGTGCCCAAAGCTCAGAGAGTGAAAGGAAATTGTCTTGAGCTATAGAGAACAAGGAAGTGGAGATGCTCAGAGAGTGGGGTGGTCTCCTGGCTGCCAGCCCAGGGCTCTTCCTCTCCCTTGGGAAGCAACCTTCTTTCTCTCTGAAGTGCCCGGTGGGCGGGTGCACTGTGTAGGCTGCAGCTAAGACACAGGATCTGGAGTCAGAGCAGTCCCCGTTCAAATCTGAGCTCTCCTACATCCTGGTGTGGGACCCTGGGCAAGTCCCTTCACTTTGGAGCCCAGGTTCCTTCATCAGTAAGATGGGGATAATAATAGTCACTCTCCTCTGTCCCCTGGCTGCCTCTCAATTCACTGGGGATAATGAACTGTGTTAAAATCCACTTTGTTTTCATCCAGGGTGTGCAGCCTCCCAGCCAAGGGTCAGGAGGAGCTGGAGGCTTTAGAAGAAACTGCCACACCTTACAGAGGAGCACTTTTACTCAGGGATGCAGGAAGAAGCAGTGCCCCCTGCTCATTTGGGACCAATGAGTATCTCATGGAGGAGACCATAATATGGACACACTGCCTCAAGAAGAGATCAAGTATACGGTGTGCTCGGTACTCCCCCTTCCAATTATGCAGAAGTGTTCCCACAACTTGGCCACTGGAGTACACACTGTTCCCAGAACTCATGAACTTTGACCCTAACAGAACAGGTGAGGTGGGGTGTGGCCAAGTACATCCCTGAAGAACAATGATCCAGTTCCACTCTCCCCACTTCTTAAACACGTGCAATGAATCAGGCCCTGTGTGCTCTGCATGTCGTCTCATCCATGTGGGGACTGGGGTGTAGTTAGTGATAGAGTCCTTGCTTAGGATGTGCGAGGCTCTGGGTTTGGTCCCCAGCACAAAAGGAAAAAGGTGCCTGTTCATATAGTGTAATCCACTGAAGGTAAATTCTCAGGGGGCAGGTGGTCAGTATATTATGTGCTGCTCTGTCTAGAAAAGTATGTCATTCTTCAAAAGTGCCCAGTAAATAATTGTTGAATGAATGAATGAATGAAAAGCAAGCAAACAAAATCTCATTGCATCCTTACGACCCTGAAAAGTGGATACAGTGATGATACCCATTCTACAGACAAAGACAATGAGGTTCATAGGAATGAAATCATTTGCACAAGGTCACACGGAAATGACAGGGAGTGAAAGGTCTTTTGGACTTGAAGCCTTGGACCCTTTTCTACCATTCCATAAGAAAGGTTTGACTGAAGCCTGTTCCAGGACCCTGAGCCTCTCTGGAGACAGTGTTGGTGTTTGGATCTGGGTTAGATGCTCCTTTTCCTCTTCTAGAAGTCTTTGAGGGTCCTTAACGTGCCCCATCTCCAGTCTAGAATCTGCTGCAAGGGGAGATCTATCAGAGCACGTGGGCTTCTTTCTCAGGGTGGGGTGAGGCCTTGGGCCCAACTCAAAGGTTGCGCAGGGGCTTTTGTGTTAAGTAGAACCACCCCCACCAACGCCCCCCGCTGCCCACCCGTGTGAATGTGTTATGGGTAAGTTGAGGAAGCTGTGTAAGGAAAAATAAATGGCTGGATCAAGACAAGGATAGAGTGTGGCAGACAGGGCCACAGCCATTAGGAGAGAAGGGAGAGAACAAGGTTAGGGCCCCTTCAGGCCAGTGCAGGATGAGAGGAGAGATGGGTCTGAGATGCTCAGGGAAGGCAAAGCCCTTGTTGGAGGCTGACTGGAAGCCTTCCAGAATGGCCTTTGTTTTCTCAGGGACAAGTGGGAGTTGAGGAGACTTAGACCTTCGGTCCAGAAGGATCTTAGAACTGACCTGTAGCCAATAAGTGTGCAATAAGTGTGGGCCAGATGAAAGCGAGGCCAGTTGACCATTTTCAACCTCCAGACTCACTCTGACCTTCCTGATGGAGCAGGGAGATCAGTCTGTGATCCTGAGCTAGCCACCCAGCTTCTCCTGAGTCTTAGTTTCAACATCTGTAGTTTGGGGATGCTAACATGTAATACTGCTAAATTAGTGACATGTGGCAAGCATTTATTGAGCATCTGGAGTCGGGCACTCTAAATGCTTTCCAGGGACATTTCTTTCAGAGATGCTACTACTGTAAGGCATAAAGAGTAGGGACTCTGGAAACCACAATATATGGATTCAAATTCAGTTTCTTCACCTCCCAGTAGAACGGGAAGCAAATAAATTTTGCTTTCATTATCTTAAAAAAGCTGGGGAGGGGGCTGGGGTTGTGGCTCAGTGGTAGAGCGCTTGCCTAGCATGTGTGAGGCCCTGGGTTTGATTCTCAACACCAAATAAGAATAAATAAATAAAGGTTTTGTGTCCATGTACAACTAAAAATACTAAAAAAAAATGTAGGGTTACTCAGCAATAAAAGACAATAAAATCATGGCATTTGCAGGTAAATGGATGGAGTTGGAGAAGATAATGCTAAGTGAAGTTAGCCAATCCCTAAAAACCAAATGCCGAATGTTTTCTCTGATATAAGGAAGCTTATTCATAGTGAAGTAGGGAGGGAGAGCATGGGAGGATAGATGAACTCTAGAAAGGGCAGAGGGGTGGGAGGGGAAGGGAAGGAGCAGGAGATTAAAAAGATGGTGGAATGATGGATATCATTACCCTAAGTACACATATGAATACACAAATGGTGTGAATATACTTTGTATACAACCAGAAAAAAAAAGTAGGGGAAGGTAAACAATACTATCTAGCTCATCAGAGTTATGAGGCTTAACTGAGTTGTTTTATGTAAAATGATTATAACCCAGTCTGGCATGTGGTAAGCATTTGGTAATTATTGTGATTCATATTAATATATCCAGCCATTTTATGAAACAGTCTTGTTATTTCCACACATACGCAGAAACAGAGGCCAAGCAAGGTGCAGCAAATTAGCCGAGGTCACCATGGCCTGGTAGCGGTGGAGGGATTTAAACCCTGGCGGTCTGGTTCCAGGGATATACTCCTAGCCAGGATGCTTTGGGGCCTCCCATGGTGAATCTCCCTCAAGGGGTTCTTATGAGACTTAAATGAAGTACCATATGTGAACCAAAGTGTTTTGCAAACCACAAGGGACTTTTTAAACCTGAGGTGCTGTTTTCTGTCTGTCCCCCTGCTACCTGCGGCGTGGCTTACAGGCACTGATAATTACATCTCTGACAGCACGAGCTATGAGAATTGTTAGCAGCAATTATGTCTGTGATCACAATAGTAGGCATGAGTTAATGGTTACTGTCAATAGTAATGACTATTGTGTTAGGATGAACTGTGATGTTCAATCATCTATCTGCCCACTCACCCACTACTACCTGCCAATCCATCTACCCACTCACCCACCCACCCACCCTCCATCCATCCATCAATTTATCCATCTACCCACTCACCCATCTACCCACTTATCCATCCATCCACCCATTTACTTATCTATCCATCCATCCATCCATCTATCTACACACCCACCCATCCATTCATCCATCCATCTACCCACCCACTTATCCATCCATCCATCTACCCACTCATTCCCCCATCCACCTTCCATCAATCCATCCTTTATCATCTACCCACTCATCCATCTACCCACTTACCTATCCATCCATCCATCCATCCATCTATCCACACACCCACCCATTCATTTATCTACTCATCTGTCCATCATCAATTCATCCACCAATTGAACCATTCATCCATCCATCC